TCTGCCCTTACATTGGCCTGACCATTGGCAGATCACTTAATTTCTCCCTTAGTTTCCTCATCTGTATAATGGGGGTAGGTGTACCTTGGACAGTTACAAGAAGTAAACAAGTAAATGTGTGTCAAATATAGCATAGTGCTTTTAATGTATCATAGCTATTGTTCATTTTGTTGGCATCTTTTCAAATTAGCTTAGGTTCATGGCAGAACCTCAGAATCTTTGTTGTGGAAAGATTGAATGAGATAGCCATACATGCAAAACAAAGAACACAGTTTAATGAACAATTAGCTGATGAACACACAATTAATGCTGTTAATGAACAGTTGTTCAACATTTGGCAAAATCATTATCATCATCACCATCTTATTTCTATAACTTTACAGGGCTGAGGGTGTCATGCTCTTGGTTTTCTATTCTGTAAGAATAGAAAGTTGGACCACTAGCTGTAAGTTGGTCCAACTTGATGTTATTTGGATGGATTGGCCAAGGTCAAAGACAGGGACAAGAGCAATATTCTGACTTTTGTTCTTCCCTATTGTATTAGTTAAGTATGATGAGAAGAGATCCTCAGCAGAGCACTCAGAATGAAGAAAGAGAGAAGATTTGAGACCTGTGGGGAAAACAACCACACCGAACATCCATCCCCCACCATTTTATCAGCACCCACTGTGGAGAGTCCTACCTGTGGCTACAGAGGAATGGCCCAAGGTGGAGTACTGGCCTGACAATGCCTTCAGCTACCAGATGGATGTTACTATACATAGTGGCAGACTTGCAAAGCCCTCCACATCACCAACCCTCATCCTCATTTCAAAAAAATACTAGCAGGTGATTTCAGAGAAAAGGGAACAGAGGCTCTGAAAGGTGGGGAGACTTAAATAATACTGTGTCTGATTCAGGATAGAACAAGAGTTAAACAAGAAGAAATGGGCTTCCTCTATTGTGGGAAAGATAAGGGCTTTTCAGTTACATGGCAGGAAGGCTGACCCCAGAGACTGACCAGAATAGAGAACTAAGAATGACACCCTCAGCCCTGTAAAGTTATAGAAATAAGATGGTGATGATGATAATGGTTATTATCAAATGTTGAACAACTGTTCAGTAACAGCATTAATTGTGTGTTCACCGGCTAATTGTTCATTAAACTGTGTTCTTTGTTTTGCATGCGTGGCTATCTCATTTAATCTTTCCACAACAACCTTGCAGATGGCCATGAAGAGGAGCAGAGCTCAGATAGGCTATGCAGCTCATTCAGCGTCTCAGAGCTTAAGAGTTAGCAGTTGGGACCACCGACCTCTACTTCAGACAGCCTCCTGCAGGCAGCCTCCCACAGCAGATGCTTTAAGGGCCCTTCTGGCTCTGTGGTTGCATGTTTTTACATCCAAGCCACAGCCATGAGAAGTTTTCTCTTTTATCAGTGAAGTCAATTCACTTAGTCACATAGAGTTTTGAACTATGAAGACTATTATCAAAAATAATTACCGCAATCACTTTGGAGAAGGAACAGGTTCTCATACCAAGTCTTTGGTGAATTTGGGTCTGATATTTTCTACCTTTTTATTTTCCAGAGACTGGGTCTTGCTGTGTTGCTCAGGCTGGTTTCTAAATCCTGGGCTCAAGTGATCCTGCCACCTCAGCTCACAGGCAGCTGGAACTATAGGTGTGCACCATGCACAGCTCGGGTCTGGCATTGATTGTTTTTGTATCACCATAAACTTGCAGAAATCCTTGCTTTTCCATAAGGTAATGACAGCAGCACTTCCCCTTGTACTTTTCTATTACAGTGTAATGAAATGCAGTAGAAACCACAGGAAATATTGCAGTCAGTTTTTGAACTCGAGCTGTCACCCTCAGCCTGAACACTGTGACAAAGGTACTGTGAATTTTTTTTAAAGGGGGGTGACATAATGGGGAGGTCCTGGTCCTTTTTAGTGTCAAAGCAGCCTGGGCATGATGAGAAACACCATTGGAAGAAGACTGAGGTATCTGACTCATGGCTCTTGGTTATCAATGCCCCCAATTAAACTCAAGCTATGAAAAAACCAGAAGGAACCCCACCTAGAATGACCCCTCAGCTTGCAGAAGCAGTCTGCTGGAGAAGGGATGTGATAGGAGGCCTGGCCTTGTGAGAACTGGCACATTTCCTAGACTTGGCATTTTATTTGGCTCCAAGTTATGTGACAAGCAAATCCTGAGTGCCTTCTGTTTTCAGAGCCAAGTAGAGATTGCATAAGATCTCTACATCTCATCCCTAGATGGTTAAATTGCTCTCCCATTTCATCGGGAAGTGAAGTAAGATCATCTGCACTTCTGTAAATTGCCAAGGAAGCTTGCAAATGGTAAACCATGAACCCAAAATAAGTTTATACAGAAAGAAAGTGTGAATGAATAACAGCAAAAGAGATATCCTTTATTATATACATTTTATGTAGATATGTGCTATATGCATCATCTAATATGATCTCAATGACCCTATGTGGTGTCACAATGATGCCTCATTTTACAGATGGAAAAAACAGAGATGGGAGAGAGGTCACTGTTGTGTCCGAGGACGCACACATACATATGCACATGGGACTAAATTGGGACTCAACTGTCTGCCTCATCAGACAGTGGGCGTCTCTATCACCCCACACAAGGTGACTTTTCAAAATGACCTATTCACGCGTTCTAATTCACTTCCCTTTCTTGTAAGCTTTTAAACCTACAGTAAAAGCAGCTAGTCTCTCAACTATTTTTTTTTTGATAAGCCCACATTTACCTGTGCTACCTACGCTACCAAGAATCCCTCTTTTCTCCTTCCACAGTAAAAACAGAAGACAGAAGAGTATTTTCTAATTAATACCAACTCTTCTGCGATAGGAAAGTGGCCTCCCAAAAAATTGAAAGGAAAAGAAAATGCAAAGCTAAAAGGATTTGAGATTTGTTAGGAAAACATTTTGATATTACATTGGAGTAGGTCATTGGGAAAACTGATTCACAACTTTCAGTGAAGCCAGAAGCAAGACATGGCTTGTCCTGATCTGGAGGTTCTGTGCCAGCCACCCCAGGGACGGCGGACCCCTATTAGTGGGTCACCTCACTCAGCCCAATCGGCAGCCCAGGCTCCAAGGCTACAGCCTAACAGTTTCTCATAATTGTCAAGGAGCAAATGGCCACATCTAAGCTGGAAATGGTTGCATGAGCTATTTTAGGGTAAACTTTCAGATTTACTTTTAAAAATCAGTGAAAACATCCAAAATGCACCAAAAAAACCTCTCTCTATGTTATATTTGTCTAGACAGAAACGGCATATTCATGACACAGCCCACGGAAGCAACTTCAGATTCGGGACCAGAGACAACTGACAGGCAGAGAGGTCTAACATTTGCTGAGAGTGGCAGGTACTTCACAAATGTTGTCTTCACTCCCACAGGTTCTCCTTGTCCCCTGAAATAACACCATTGCTGCCACCATATTTAAATTGTAGTCACCAGAAAGGTTAAGTGCTTAGTCCAAGGTCACGCTACAGGTTAATGACTACATTAGAATTTGAACCCTAGTCTCTCTCACTCCCAAATCCAACCTCTTTCCACTGCGTGAATTTTGTCTCCTCTGAATAATCGGTGGGTAAAGAGGTCCTGGAGACAGTGCACCGGGAGGAAGGGTGCACTGTCTCCAGGACCTCTTTACCCACCGATTATATGGTCTGGATGCAGCTTCCAGGGGACTGGACAAGCTGCTTCCTGAATCGGGCTCCCTCCCGACTTGCACCCCTCCCGAAACACCCTGGCCCAGAGAATGAGTGAAAATCAATTGAGATTCCGCTCCTTACTCTGGCACCTGGGCCCATTCGCTCCTTACTGTGGCACCTGGGCCCAATTTTTGTCAGGATTAGAGCGCGCAAACCCAGTGCTCTCACTTGGACACGAGGGGGCGCCCGATGCTCACAAAAAATCCCTAGGATCCCAGCAAGCGACCTGCAGACCCTGTTTGGTAGTATTGGGAAGGAACATGGTTCGTCCTCTCAGAAGTATCACTTAAATGGATCAAAATCTACCATGCTTTGAAAGAACCCTGGCTTAATTACTGGGATTCTCCAGTAGACACGTTGTTTTGGACAACCTAAAGCCAACATTCTCTTACTTTAGTACTATGAGAATACAATAAAAGGACAGGTCCCACTGTCGGATGGAAAAATCACCACCCTTGCAGCCCAGCTGTTGCTAATACCTAGGATAACCCAGAGGAACCAGAACGCAATCAATGACAAACGTAATAAAAAGCCAAGTGATCAAAAATATTCCAAGGCATACAAGAAAAATAGTCCCCATCTCCAAAGCTCTGCCCATCTCAGGTGCTTCAGCTCACTGCACTTGTTCACCTTTGTGGAGAGGGAACAGGCCTGGGTGAAGCTGGCCACTTAGAGAAGCTGTTGTGTGTTGCACCCAGGAAGCCCAGGGAACAGCAGAAAGAAGGGCGGTGTGCTCTCATTTGGAGACGCCTGGGGCAGAGGCCCCAAGTGCCTGCCTCTGCACCAAGGCCTTTCCAAGTTGTGCTCTTGGCAACAGCCTTTGAAATAACTGGGTGCTGGCAACACAGGCTTGGCATTAATATGCTTGGCATTAATATAAAAGAATACTCAGGGCTCCCACCTCATGCTTTTGGATCTTTTTAAAAATCCAGCCACTTACCATGACTAACATAAAATAAAGGCAGAAGAAAATATGGTACGACCTTCACTTGGTTTCTCCCACCAACATCCTTGTGCTGGAGCCAAAGCACTTTTCAAACCAGAGAGAGAGGGGGCTGAGGTCTCAACTAAGAGCAGGGACCACTAAGGGCTAAGGATATTTTCACCTCCCCTCTCTAACAAAAGCTTTGCCATGAATAATAGGCGCTACTCAGCTCCATCAATCAACCTCAGTTGCTTTATTTTCGTTGCTCCCAAGATGTATAGGAAGCTAAAGTTTGTTACAAAGCCCCCATGGAGGCATTCAGGAAATCCCGGGGAGGCTTACTGAGGGGATGGCTGTGAGCTTGCCAGGCAGCGAATGTGCACATCTTCCTTACAGCCTCCTTCCTGCCGCTCTGCCTTCTGTGCCTCTTCCTTTGTTTGCCTGCTCCCCTGAGATGAGCCTGCAAGGAGACGCCCCCGAAGCAAGCACGTCTCTATAATAAGACATGACAGCGAGTCTGGAGAATTCGCTGGCTACACATGATTATAAAAAATTCTGCATCATTATCCATTGCTTTTCTGAGACACGAATGTGAGTGGTAAGGCTCTCCTGTCCCTAGCACTCTGAAGACAAAGGCAAGAACAGAGCAGGTTTTGACTGCCAACCTGCCAGCAAAGCCTCATGCCCATGGGAGAGGGTCAAACTCCAATAAAACCTGCATCAGCTGTCAAACCAAGCCTACTGCAGACAGCTGAATGGTGAAGAAACAAGCAACATTTGTTGAAGTCCTTAGAAGATGAATTACATCTGTTTCAAAATTCCTGGCACCCTTTAAGAGGAATCAGAGTTCATGGACATTTCTTTGCCTTGGTATCCTCAGAGAGCAGGGGGACTTCAAGCTTTTGCTGTAGGGATAGTGCCACGAGATGAAGGGCTGGAAACAGGGGAGAGACTTTATTTTAATTGATAGCACAGAACCAGGGAGAGGTAACCTTGCATCAAATGGAATGGGATGACCACACTAACATGGATAAAAAAGAAACCCTCCCAGGTTCCACCTCCGCAGGCTGGTAAACATTTACCTCCATGTCCCCAATCCACACTCACTCACCTACACACCCCATCTCCCATCCCTTCATGCTCCTGCTTCCGATCTCTGGCCTTGCTCTTCATATAAAACACAGACGTGCACCTGCTGCTTCTGGAGACACTACCCCTTGATGGGGTTCAGGACATGCTCCATCACGTTCATATGGCATCTTATGGGCACAGGGGTTCACACCTGTAATCCCAGCACTTTGGAAGGCCAAGGTGGGAGGATCGCATGAGTCCCAGAATTTGAGACTAGCCTCGGCAACACAGTGAGACCCTGTCTCTAGAAAAAATTTAAAAATTAGCCAGGCATGGTGGCACGCACCTATAGTCCCAACTACTTGGGAGGCAGAGGTGAGAGGATCCCTTGAGCCCAGGAGTATGAGGCTGCAGTGAGCTATAATTACACCACTGCACTCCAACCTGGGTAGCAGAGTGAGATTCTGTCTCTAAAAATAAATAAATGGCATCTTAGCATTTGAAAAATAGAAGCAAGAAGGTCACTTTCACCTCCCTGCCCTGTACTCTCTGGAAGCAGGTTCTAAAATGTAGGAAGGATCTTCTGATCTCCCTCCAGAGAAAGTTATTTGAGAGGTGCCCTCCCTATACACAGAGAAAAGCTGCCAAGAGCCAGAGACGCCAAGAAGAATCTGAACAAACAGGCCTTGCTAAGTGTTTATTACCATCAGATCTTACTCATTTGTCCTCCAGTTACCCTTCTCCATGGATAATCCTCCACTTTCCATCAAACCTAAGCATAAAAATACACATTTCCTTGTTTCTTTGGGTCTTCATTTCTGACAGCTCCTGTGTCACATAAAACTTGGATTAAATAAATGTACATGTCTTTCTCTCTTGTTACCCTGTCTTTTGTTATAGGGCCCTCAGCCATGAACCTAGAGATGAGTGAGAAAAACTTTTTTCCACCTCTGTATCCTACAGGGAAACCTTCTCCAAGGGGTTAATACCATTTAACACTTCTTGGATTTTATCATTCCTTCTTGAGATGGGGACAAATAGGAGTCACAATTTTTAGAAGGGAAAAGGGAGGCCCAGGGACCAGAGATGACCTTCCCAGAGACACAGTACCAGAGCAACATTGGAGCAGCAGGATCTTCAGCCCCACCGGCTGAGGCTGTTTCCTGATTGAGCAGATGCGCCCATGGGTTAACTACCCTTGGCCTTTGTCCTTTCACCCCCACTTGCAGATGAGCTGAGTGATCTCAGTGCCTCAGCTCCTTCACTGGACAGGTAGTACCACCTCAGAGAAGTACTGTTATCTGCATCCCTGTTTTATAGATGAAGAAACTGAGGCATAAAACAGCCTGCCCAAGAACACACTGTGAGTAAGAGGCAGAGGACTGAGTAAGGAGGCTTCAGTGCAGTCGCATCTCTGCAACACGCTCCACACTGCTTCTGGGCTGTCTCGGCAACTCAAGGCGTGATATAACGGGAAGAGCCCCATACTAAGCAGTGGGAGACCTAAGTCTTATTTCCTCTGGTCAAAGATGAGTGATGTGATCTCACCAAGTTTCCTGTTTTTGTATTTCTTAAATGGGAGATGGAATTAGATCAGTGGTTTTAACCGTTTCATACAAGAAGACCCATTTTTGTCAATTCTAGTGGGTACTCACATTTTGAAAACTATCATCTGTCAAAAGAATTATATTTATTAACAATTACTTTGTTTTCCTTTTTTTTTTTTTAATTGTAAGTAGTTTATTTTGCCAGGAGTCAGACCTTACTTTCCCATAAGTTAACGTAAGTTCATGAATTACATACAACCAAAAGTAACTGTCTAACCTGTGCAGCTTTATAATCGGCTTTTTTTACTTTTATTTTAAGTTCAAGGGTACATGTGCAGGTTTTTTAACATAGGTAAATCTGTGTCATGGGGGTTTGTTGTATAGATTATTTCATTTGTTTTCCATTTTTAACTGATTGAATCAAATGAAAGGTGTTAGTTTCAGCAAGGTCCTTTCTGACTCCTTTCTCTAGATTCCACTCTGTTTTTCTGTGTGACATTATTGATTATTTTTCTTTCTTCATGCTAGCCACCATATGTTTTTTAATAAGTCTACCTGTCTACTTTGTTTTGTCTATCTGGGCCTCCAGAAAGTAAACTTCTCTATGGCCAGGAACTCATCTGCCTATCCATCTCTGTGTCTTCAGGGTCTAGCATCAAGTAGGTGTTTAATGAAGTTGTTGAACTGAAGAATAAACTGATTTGCTGGTATTGATGAGCCTGTTCATTCCTGCTATTACATGGTAAACACATCATTTCAATTTGGCTTTTTAAAGTATTGAAAATAACTTGAAGAACTCCAATTCTGCTTTTTAAAAGTCTGGACACTCCATGATGGAAATCACCACATGGAATGGCCTCTAAGCTCTTATCCGTTTCTGAAATTTCACTATCTGGTGGTTTCTTTTGCAAAACTGACTGGAGGGATTCTGTGAAGGCCGGGCACTAGGCAGTGTTCTTCCCCACAGAAGCAGTTCAGAGGGAGTCAAGGATGCTCAGCTGCCATCGACTCCAAACACAGTGATCCTCAAGGCCTGGTAGATTAACTGCACTCATGATAGACAGACTTCTAGGCAGCAGAATGTCTCTCCCCTTGATGGTAAAAGTCAACTTCCTGTGCCATTGCTAACCTACAGCCTTTCTACTCAGTTGATGTATAGATTATGGAAGTGTGTGACTTTCTTTTCGCCCTCTCATTCAGAGAAAGATGCTTGGATATATCCCTTTATGAAGTTAAACGTTAGTTTTCTAAGACCTCACGAATATTCTGGAAACCCATGCATGTAGCTGTAAAGGTAGAAGGAAGGCAAGATGGGGCAAAAAAAAAAAAAAAAAAAAAGGCTGAATTATGGTTCCATTGCCATGGAGACCTCAACCAATCCCATGGGACTCTGAAGCTGGGAACGATCCTTCTTAGTTGTCCCAAACTGACCCGAAGATCAAGCCATTGGTTCACCACATCAGCCTTGCCTTAGCCCCTGACCACCCCTGTAACCTGGAGTGAGGCAGCAACCTGGGTGAAGGCAAGTCAATCAAGGAGCACAGCTGTGAGCTCTTTGCAGCTGGGGGATGGGAAGACAGGCCCTGGAAAGGAATCATGGAGCATCATGGTATGTCTCTAACTTTCAACTGAGGCTGCCATCATGTTCTAGCATTCTTCATTTGCCAGAATGGAAGAGAACAATTTGCCTAGCCAGGACCGTGTTGCATTTAGCAAAGGACAAATTAAACTACAAATACAAATGAGCTGGCCCTCCATTAGCCAAGTTTCCTAACAGAGCAACCAGTCCAAAAAATAAGCACTAGAGGAGTGATGCCACCACTGGCTTGGGAGTGAAAGTTCCTCACAATTGCCAACTGTTGGAAGGGCTGGACAAGGCCAGAAAGGAGTGGGTTATGGCACAGGTGGCCGGGGTCTAGAAGACGATGAAGACATGAAACTTACAAGATGGACAGGGACGATAACTGGGGCTCCAAGAACAATTGATGAAAACCAAATATACGCCTTAAAATAGAATGTGGACCTAAATACCCAGGAGCACCCTACTTTGTAAGATGTGAAACAAAATTTAATATGAATGGAGTTAAGAGTTCTAATGGAGTAGTGGACCAAGAGCCTTATCAGTGCTAGCAAAATGGCAGAATTCATATAGCATCAAAGTGGTTCTGCTGGTGTGAGCTGGCTGAAGGATACAAAATACATTAAAAAAATAAGAGATACAAAGTTGTTTTGCAAGAGCTTCAGCAACTAATGATATCTAAAGAAAATATGAAACTCCCTCAGCTACCTGAAGGGCACCTTGGTAGCAGTTATCAAAAAGTGAAACCACAGGGTCTTCCCTCCTCCCTCATTCAGTTTAAGAAGTCTGCATTTTTCATAGAGGTAAATTTTCTAGGTACATCTTGTAGACCTGAAAGTACAAAGAAAGCTTCAGTTCAAATGAAATATATTTTAAGACACTATAAATGATACTAATTTTTTGTCCATTTGAAATACATCAGTTGTGCTATAACAAATCATCATGTCAAGTGTAACGACTATTCACATAGTTGAGCTTCTGGGATCAAGAAAGTCCATTTAAATTGATTCCCATCATAACTGGTGGGACACATCTAACTCAACTGTAAAAACACACACCACACAATCACCTTGCCACTGATGACATGGCCTGGGGTCTCTGCCATCTCCCCCTTCCCCTCTCCATCCCCTCTCTGCAATAGCCCTGTAGCCTGGGGGAGCTTGTTAGAGTAGATGGGATGATTGAGGATTGCAGCCTGTGGAACTACTGCTGAGTATGTGGCGTGCTTTGCCTGCATCCCTGGCTTTTTTCTTTAAGTCTTAAATGATGC